AAATTTCATTCGTTCGAATCTCTTGATCTAAGCTTGTTTAATACAAATGAACCATGGATTTGGAATGTACGTGAGTAGGGCTTTATTTTGGTATAAGATTTGGCATGATTTGGTGAAGTTTTCAGAGCTGATCTTCGGCCACCTCGCCGGAGAAAACGACCGGAGCTAGGGCTACGGCGTCTAGTTCAAACTCAGATGAAGGTGATGTGTCATTGTTTGACCTGTTGACCTGATGAGATGGACGTCCCAGATCCATTTGACCTACATGCGTGGATGATTGACTGCCATATCTATTAAATGAAACGATGTGTTTTGGTGTTGAGCTGAGTTGCGCTTAGTTTAGGCCAAAGCTGCTATACGCACCCCCTTTCTTTGGAGCCCAATGATTCTCAACGAGAATCCTTGCTATTTGCACCATTTTTTATTTTCTTATTTCAATTCTGTTTTCATTTTTAATTGTTAAAAATATCTCCAAGTGTCATAAATATCCATAAAAGATATTTTCTAATACCTTAGGGTGTTAATTAATTTTCTCAATTTTTTATTTTCATTTTCCCTTGTTTTTTCAATATAATTGGAATTTTACAAGTGGAGGTGTTTTTAATGTTTTTTTTGTTGTTCACATTTGTTCTTGCTTGAGATTTGGACCAATTTTAATCACCTATGACCAAGGCCTCCTCCTTATTTTGATGATGAGTTGAGGTGCCTTTGAGGATGTTTTTGGTCAAGGTTTGGCCTATTTTTGGTTTACTTTCATGTGTTTTTGTTTGACCCTCGACAACCCTCCTTCAAAGTGGAGCACCCTTAGTGGACCAATTCCTTTGGTGATGCTTTGGTTGGACTTTGGTTGTGTTGTTTTGGCATCTGGTTTCCAACATCTTTGAGAGATTTGTGCATTTTATTTGGATTTATTTGAACCATTTCACTATTTTTGGTGTACCTTGCAAATCAAGTCACCTTAATGATGGTTCACACATACTAGTTGACATAGTTCTTGTGGGAGATGACCCTTGTGGATCCCATATGCTTCCAACTCCTCTTGATTCACATTTCTAACATGTTGAAGTGTTTGGTTGCAAATTTTTAGGTCATAAAGTTGGTTGGTTCTTGTTGTAAGTTGCATTTGTTTAAGGCTTTCCATTTGATCTTGAATGTTGAAAGTGTTTAGAACCTAGGTTCTTTACCATGCCTCATCTTGCAACTTGCCTTGCTTTTATTCCTTATTTCATTTTCCATTTCTCTTCTCTTGTTCTCACTTCTGTCCTAGGATCTTGGGGACTCATCCAAGTTGATTTGGTGCCTTTGACTTGCACTTTGAGTTTGACTTGGATGAGAGGCCATTTTGAGAACCTCCTTAGCTTTCTTTCTTGCATGATCATGGTGATGCTTTTGGTTGAGTTTTTATTTGATGTTGCTTGCTGCCCAAGCCTATTCTCCCATCCTCATCTTGATCATGTATTCTTTTCTTTCTTATTTTCTTGCCTTTTGGTTTAGTGATTGATGTGCAAATGGTTGTAGAAATTCTATTTCTCCCATTTTATCTCACTTTTGGCTTGAACTTGTTTAAGTTCTTTGGTTTGATTTCCTTCTTTGTTTTGCATATTCTTGTTTGCATTTAATAGGTTGAGATGTGCTTGTGGAGGTTGTTACCCCACACTTTGTTCCTCCCTCTTTCTTCATCTTTGTGTTGCATTGCATGTTTGCATCCTCTTTTTCTTTCATCAAGGTTTTCTTCTTCTTTTGTCTTCCTTTGCCATGTTCCCTTAGGACTTCTAATATTTCTTGTTCAAAATGAATTATGATAGACATTAGGTTTGAATCCAAGCATGATAACATTAGGTTAGTCTTCCCTTCTCATCTCAATCATAGGTGTACATTGCATGATAACATTAGGTTGAGTTTAGTCTCCCTTTTAGAGTGTGTCTTCTCTTATCATCTCCAAACTTCTTCAAAGCATCTAATAAAGTATAATGAATGTTGTACGCTACGAGCCTTAAGCATTTTGGAAATGATGATTGGGGGGCCTCCTCTCAATTGTCTAGAGTGTTTAGCGTATGTCCTTGGGACGATATGCGACGCATTCGCTCCTAAGTCATAGTCTTTAGTGCAACATGCATTACAAACATAATTCAATTCACTTCTTCTTCATAAAAGACTCAAAAACAAACATCAAACTTTTTTTATCCTTCGGGATTAATGGAAATTTTTTTCATAAAGAGAGTTTTGTTAACTCTTGGTTCTACCGCAAACAGGTAACGCCTACGTCTCCAATGGTCGAGCAGCATACACCTAACTACTAGAACTAATGTTTAACCCTACTCGGGTAAAACATTTGAACCAACCAGTGGTCGTGTCAGCCCGAACTACGTTTGCTCTGATTTCTCGTACCAGACGAGGATACGTAGGCACAAGACGGCGATGTCTTGGCGAGCAACCTTCGCCACTTTCACCCGTAATTTTTCGAACTAAGTTGACTCTGACTTTCCCATTGCACGAGGGAGTACGTAGGCATAGAGCGGCAATGCTCTATCGAGTCTCTTTTCTTTTCTTTTGTCCCCGTGAGCCTGTAGCTTAGATAGATTAACACTCTTTTAGATAGATAACAAGCGTGGATCCCGTTGAATTCAACGGACGTGAGGGGTGCTCATACCTTCCCCTTGCGTAACCGACTCTCGAACCCAAGATTTGGTTGCGATGACATGTCTTCTCCCTTTTTCGTAGGTTTTGTCTGATCGTTTCCTTTCCCTCTTTAGGGATAAATAACGAACGGTGGCGACTCTTCTGTCCTTGCCGACCCCTCTTCGCAGTGATGCGACAGCAGGCCAACTGTAGAATTTGCATTTCAGCTGGAACAATTAAATTGAAAATAACATGAGGTACAAACCATTGCAGAGAAGTTTAGAAGGAGTTCTCACTGTTATGTATGGGTAATCATCGGTGGACAGTCGAATCTTGAACATAATGTCGGTGTTGGTGGACACAGTTATCCGTCTTTAGTGGCTGTTTGTGACGTGTTTAGTCATTAATCATTTAGGTTTAAGTAATTAATCATTTATCTTTTAATCAAATTTCCATCTATTTAGTTATTTTTTAGATCTACCTGATGTTAAGAAAAATTGTTATTATTAATTAATTAAATCCCGATAGACACTCCTGACCCTTACCCTTATCCTAGCCTTAGGATCGGAGTCGCCGCACTCCACATTTTGTCTTGCCATAGACACTCCTGACCCTTATCCTAGCCTTAGGATCAGGAGTCGTCGTACTCCACGTAAGTTCCTGCCATGGATACTTACCCTTCCTTACTTACCTATCTTTCAACTCAACTTAGACTTCAAGTCGCCGCACTTCATGTAAGTATCTCCCTACGAACACTTGCTTCCCCCTTGGAACCTTGATTACAGTCAAGAGTTCCTCACCCTCGTTGAGGGGAACTACGAATGCTTTGATTCCATTCCCGTCAAGATACGTAGGCACGAGATGCGATGTCTTGGCGAGCATACTTAAGACTAACCCCTTAGGCCCTCTTTCAAATATTTAACAGATAACAACAATAACATAAATAAAAAAAGAGGTTCCTGTAGAGTACTACAGATTCTTAGGATGCTAACACCTTCCCTAGGTATAACCAACCCCGAACCTGAGATCTCCCGCATTGTTTTTACAGTACAATTAAGGTTTTTTTTCGTTCTTTATCCTTTCCTTTGGATAAATCAAAGCTCGGTGGTGAATTTCAAATATTTGCGATTCAAGTTAATCAATAGCTTGATATCCGATTCTCACCGCAACAGTAGTGGAAAGGATGTGGCGTTCTGGCACTGCAAGTGGAGGATTGACGTTCCATTTAAGGTGATGTTTCCTAACTTATTTCTATTTTCTGTTAATGCTGGTGAATATGTAGCAGAGATAGGTGAGTGGAGATGGGAAGAGTGGGATTGGAAACTGCAGTTTCACGATTTTCCTATAGATTCGTTCATGGAAAGGGAGAAGGAGGATATGCTGGATATATTGGTTAATGTGAGGCCGAAGGATAACATTGAAGATTTTTTTCTGTGGGATCCTATTTTGCCTTCTTCCTCCTCGAACTTGTTTTCAGTTTCTTCTTGTTATTATTTCTTGGTTCAGGATAGGGTTGTTAATGTTTTTAGGGAGGATATATTAGATGGATCCAAGAACATTTGGGAGACGAATATTTCCCTCAAAAGTTCAGATTTTTGTTTGGAGGGTTTTCATAGACCGGATCGCAACGAAGGATCAGCTGGCTAGAAGGAACATTATGGTTGGAGGGGGGGTCCGAACTGTCAAGTTTGTATGGGTTTTATAGAAAACAACAAGCATATGTTGTTGGAATGTGATTATTCAGACAATGTTTGGAATGAGATTTGTTAAGTGGATCGGTATTCAAGTCAGAAGAAATGAGAGTTGCCTTAAGTCATTCACAGCTTTTGATTGCTCCTCAAAAATTGCTACTGGGAATTCTTCGAGCAACATAGTTTAGGCAGTGACAGTTTGAGTTTTGTGGGATAGTAGGAATTTATTATCCTTTAATGACAAACGCAAGGACATTGATGATATTATAAATTCTATTAAGTTTTTTACTTGGAAATGATTATTTGTAGGTAGTTCAAATCATAGTTGTTTGTTTTACGAATGATTCACTGCACCTCTCGAGTGTATCAAGAGGTTGTAAGTCGTTGGCTTTGTTATCTCGGGTTTGTGCACCTCTTTTGTTGTTTAATGGTATCATTGCTTATTGAAAAAATTATGTATATATGAGTGAGGATCCGCTTACTCTAAGAGTAAGTTTTTATAACTTACTCCACAATCATAGCGATTAAATACTAAAGACCACCATCAATCCACTATAGATAGGGACATTATTGTTTTTAGAATTATCATGTTTCTATAAATTGTTACATGGAAAGAATCATAATGCAACACAAAGCTAAGCTCATAATTAAAAAACAATACTGTTGTAGCTTATTTCTTTCGATCCAACAATGGCTTATGTTGAGCTTGCTCCTTTGGCTGTCTTGATGCTTGCCACAATTTGTATGTATATTGCACGTCTTTCTCACCAATATTTATAAATACCATGCATTTTAATTTATTTTTTTGACCATATCAGAGAAATTGAACACTATCTGCTCTATATTACAAAATCATTATATCCTAACTACTTTTATACACCTTATCTTTTGAAGTAATATTTTCGATGAAGAGGGTAGAAGCTACGAATTGTTGGGGTAGATGTGCACCATTTCAGTATCCAACATGCGGCTATCCAGATGATTGTCGGTGTATTCCATGGTTACTAGTTGGGGGTCAGTGTATTGATCGATTTTATTCTAAATCAATTGTAAAGATGGTTGAAGAACATCCTTACTTATGTCAATCTCATGGCGATTGTGTTAAGAAGGGCAATGGAAACTTCTGCGGTAGTTATCCTAATTCTGAAATCCAATATGGCTGGTGTTTTTCCTCCAAAACTAAAGCTGAACACTTTTTCACCATTGGCTCTAAGCTTGCTGCAAATGAGCTCTTCAATATTAACTCTAACTCTAAAGCAATTGGCTTTAACCTTGCTGTAAATGAGCTCTTTAATATTAGCTCTAACTCTAAAGCCAAAGACTTTCTAAAGAAGGCTATGGAAATTTACACTTAAATGTCCAACAAAAAAGATCATACATCTACTACTTTGAATAATCGGTCTTTCTTTCCAATTCATCAATTGGATTTCTTAGATCTCCATATGAAATTAAATAAATGATGTATGTGTTGTTATTCTCTATTATTTCATTATTTTTAATAGCAAATATAATATATTAAAAAAAATAAACTCACATTAAAAATATCCAAAAATTTTTGGAAGTGTCCGAGAGCAGATAAAAATAAACAAAATATAAAAGGAACAACAAATAATACAAACAGACAAAAAACATCAAATCTACCTTCAATAGATCATATCACTCTAAAAGAGAATAAAAACTCACCACCACTTTTTAAACAAGTCAAACATCTAACATTGATCTACTATGTGTGCAAATAGATGACAAAGTTTAAAAGTTAACTTGTGATGGTGCATGAGTCACTCTACATATATTAAAAAATTATTTTCAGACTAAAAAATATTCTTCTTTACTTAATTGCAATTTTAGTTTTTCTATGTTATCATTTTTTAAGTTTTGGTCTTTCAATTTTAAAAATGACGTTTTTTTTTATTTTTTTTTTTAAGTTTTGTTGTGAATTTTAAAAACCTGATCAATTTGAAAATATCTTTTTTATAATGTGGCGTTTGTTTCGTTGATGTGTCAGTTTCTATTTGTCCAAATATATTTCCACGTCATATCAATTTATTTAAAATTAAATCTTTTCATTTAATTTAATTTTAATTCAAATATTTTTATAAATCAAATAATAAAAGGAAAAAAATACAAAACCCAAAAAGAAAAAATGGCAAAAATCTTTTTTTTTTTTTTTGACATTTGGACATCGAACCTCTTCTTCATCCAATTGAAACATAAAAGGAAAAAATGCAGAACTCAAAATGCTCTCAAAATGCTCACTCTCTCACACTTCAATCTCAATATCATTTTTTCTTCATCTCCACAATAATTTCAAACCTAAAAAGCTCTGGAGACGTCCCTGGAAAGGAGTTAATCCTTGTTTGTATATATTATGAATGATGCAAAGACGAAGCCGATGGATGAGGTGATGATGGAGGTGAGGATGACTTCACTGGAGAAGGACAAATTTGACACATCTTCAAAATAAGCGTCACATCATAAAAAAAATATTCCTAAATTGATCAGGGGACTAAAATCTAAAACACAACTTAAAAAGGAGACAAAAATAGAGGAATTAAAACTAAAAAAAAATACAAAAATAGGGGGATCGAAATAGAAATTAAGCCTATAATATATTAAATAAGAAACATGCACATGTTAACACTCCAAAATTTTGGGCTCTTCTTTGCGACCGTGGAAGCGAAGATATTCTATATGGTGGCGCGACTTGATGAGTTTGCGAATCATAACTCCATCGGAAAGGAATTGGTTCTCGGAGCATGTCAGTTGTGGGGTAAAGATAAACTCTTTTCGGTTTTTCTGCTTATTTATCGCATTTCTGTCAATCTTGAGGCTAAGGTTAAAGACGTAAGTTATTGGCATGAGGTTGTAAGGCAGTGAAACATCAATGTGAAGTCGGAATTGCTATCGGATGATGAACCGAATCAGATGTCAGACTTGTTAATGATGCTGGTTGATGTCTCTTCCCCCGCTAATTTCGATGATTCTTTCATTTGGTGGCCAGCTAAGGACTCCTTCACTGTGAAATCTGCATATACTACCCTGCTAGTGCCTGCAGCTACTCTTTTATCGGGGACGCAGCTTACGCGTTGCAATCGATTTGGAAAGCCAATATTCCGAATAAAGTGCATATTTTTGGTTGGAAATTAATTCTCATTCGTCTTTCATCAAAAGAAATTTTGCTCCTTCGTGGAATGCTTGTTAGAGAGAATGAGGAAATTTGTTAAAGTTGCTCAACCGATGTAGAAAGCATAAGTCACATTTTTTGTAGTTGTTCCTTTTCTTATGCTATTTGGGCCAGAATTTGTGATAATTTTAACTTTTGCATTTGTTAACATTTTTTGTAGTTGTTCCTTTTCTCATTCCTTTTCTATCGTTCAGTTCACGGACAATGCATATAAAATTTATAGTAAAAAGGTAGAATGTTTGATTTAGTGTTGTGTGTGTTGGAATATCTAGCATCAGAGGAATTTGGTAATTTTTAAGCCAGAGGAAGTTGTAGGTTGAATTGTTGAGATACTATTATTAGATCAAGTTGGGAATGGTTTATAATCATTAGTAGAACCGTTCATGGTTTTGACTGGGAAGATTGGGTGACCAATCCTTCTTCATTGTTTGTTAAGTTCTTGGACTGTTGGAGCTTGTTGGTGACCAATCATTTCCTCTCTTGTATTAAGGGTTGAGTATCCCTTATGCTCCTCATAATACAATTATTGCATATATATAAAAACACTTCAACTTATTTTGTGTCACATCACCCATATTCATATATGACATTTTTCAAAATTCATCTTCACTTCTGAAAAGGAAATACCACATAGTGTTAGAGGTTATCGGTTTAACTCTTGACAAATGCAAAAGAAAATGTATTAACTTAACAATCACTTGTTAACTTTGATACAAATTATTTTTATAAAATGTATTAAGGTAATAGAAACCCGATCAGACGTCAAACTGATGTACTTATGGGTTCAGGGTTTTAAGGCTAGACTAAGATTGAACCTAGATTATGTTAAATGTAATTCATAGTGTGTCGAAGTCGAAATAGTAAGGAAGTAGTCGAAGTCTAAATCAAGTGTCGAAGTGTCAAAGCTTTCAGTGTGTCGAAACAGTTTTTTTTACACAGATTTGTTTTGATGAGATTTGATATGATTTAGATTAGATTTGATTTTGAATATTTTGGGCCTTTTAGGTTTTGGGCTTTTGTAAACCTAAAACTATAAATAGGTGTCTTGCTTTGTAATCAAACATAGAACAAATTTCACAGTTGCAGAGTTTAGCAAGTGAAAGTTCAATAGTAATCATAAATCCCACAATTTGTGGATAACACAATTTTCTCCAAATATTTCTTCTCTCATTCTTCTCTTTCTTGCTGTTTGTTTGTTATTCTTCTTCTCTTTTGTTGTTCTTGATAACTCTTTACTTGTTATCACCATTACTATCATATTGTGGGTTTTTTCATCAATCTTGAGATCAAGATTGAAGGGAATTCTTCATAGGGTGTGAGGTGAATTTCCAACATCTGGTATCTAGAAATTCAGTTGAGAGATTCAAGGAAGGAAGATAGTGATGGCGATGAACTATCTGAACGGAAACTTTCTGGCGACCCTGCCAATTCTTAAGAAAGACAATTATGAGAATTGGTGCAAGCAGATTAAGGTGATTTTCTGTTATCAAGATCTTTGAGATCTTGTGAAGGACGGGGTAACATCGCTTGGGGAGAATGCAACGGAGGCGGAAAAGGCTGCGCACAAAGAATTGAAGAAGAAGGATTATAAAGCACTCTTTATAATTCATCAGTGTTTTGATCCTGATAACTTTGAAAAGGTTAGTGATGTTGATTCAGCAAAAGAAGCATGGGAGATTCTTGAAAAGTCGTTTGGAGGCGCAGAGAAGGTGAAAGAGGTGAGGTTACAAACTCACAAGAGAACCTATGAGTTGCTTCAGATGGAATACAACGAAAACATTACATATTTCTTCACCAGAGTTACAAAGTTGGTGAATCAAATCAAAGTATGTGGAGAAGCGCTAACTACGAAAGCAGTTGTCTCAAAGATTTTGAGATCGTTGGCTCCAAAATTCGACCACGTGGTAGTTGCCATAGAATAGTCGAAAGATCTGTCAGTGTTGACAAAGGAAGAGCTTCAAGAGACTCTTAAGTCTCATGAACAGAGGATGGCTGAGAGAGCTGTAAGAAAGTCGAAAGATGTGGCTTTGCAAGCGCAGTCAGAAAAGAAAAGGCAAAGGTAGTTGGAATGGCAACAAAGGAGGAAACCAGTCGAATCAGAAGAAACCTTGGAACCAAGGCAACCAAGGAGGTGGTGCTGCAGGTAAAGGAAGAGGTGGTGGTCAAAAGACAGACAAAAGCCACATTCAATGTTTCAATTTCCAGAAGTATGGTCATTATGTTAGTGATTATCCAGAAAGGAAGAGAAATCAAGAGACTGATGCAAATCTGGCGAAACATGAAGAAGAAGAAACATTGTTAATGGTCACAACAAAAGATGAAGAAAGATTCCAAGATCAGTGGTACTTGGACTCAGGATGCTCATCACACATGACTGGAAGGAAAGATTGGTTTGTCAACATGAAGCCCTCGTCAAAGAACACAATGAAGTTTGCAAATGACAACACTCTAGCAACTGAAGGTGTTGGTGATGTTCTGATTATGAGGAAAGATGGAAAAAGGTCAACAATTTCCAATGCGTTGTACATACCAGGCATGAAGAGTAATTTGCTCAGTATAGGGTAGCTTGTCGAAAAGAACTACAAGGTAGTTGTCGAAGACAAGATGATGAGAGTTCTCGACGCAGGTGGTAGATTAATCTTGAAGGCTCCAATGTCTCAGAATAGGACCTTCAAGATTGAACTCAATGTGATGGAGCACAAGTTTCTATCAACTACATCCAGCAGAGATGAGTGGTTATGGCATTTTCGACTAGGTCATCTCAACTTTAATGACATCAGAGAACTGAAGAGAAGAAATATGGTTTCAGGATTACCAGAAATCGACATTCCAAGTGAAGTCTGTGAGGAGTGTGTTCAGTCGAAACAACACAAGAATAGCTTCATCAAGGATGCAGGAAGGAAGTCGAAGGCAATACTTGAAGTCATATACTTTGATGTATGTGGTCCAATCCAGGTGGATTCGATTGGTGGCAATAGATACTTTGTCCCGTTTATAAATGATTACAGTCGAAAGTTGTGGACATACCTCATCAAGAAGAAAAGTGATGTGATTGAGGTATTTTCCAGGTTCAAGTCCATGGTCGAAAGACAGAGTGGTCTAAAGCTGAAAATTCTGAGGATTGATGGTGGTGGAGAGTATGTGTCAAAAGAGTTCGATACACTATGTGTA